TTTCTTTAGATACTGAGCGGTAGTGCTGCTGCTGCATCCATGTGTCTGGCTTAAGATATCAGAATGTTCTCCAGCATACCACTGTCTCTTGGCAATAACCCGATCATTGAAGTAAAAAATAGCTGATCAATTCAATAGTGCAAGAGAAATTGTGGGACGACCCATTAGAATCGATTATTGTTCTTAGAAGAATGCCCTGCTTTTCACACTATTTTGTTCCTATTTGAGGTGCATGGCAGTCGGATTACAATACTCACCGCTCTCACTTCAACACGTGTAATTGATTCTTTCAATTTACGAAATGAGCAATTATTAAAGTCTAAAGGAAAACAGCTGGTTACGGATGACGAAGTGCACATTAAAGCGGTGAGATTCTTTTTTCATTGTCAAATAAGTGGCAAATTTCTTTCTTTTATTTGGTGTCATTGAATTCAGTCCTCCTTGTAAAGACGGTGAATTGATAAGGTAAACACATTTGCGAAATATAAGTGAAACTCCCATCCCTAATTGCTGGTTTGAAAAAATCGCTGTTGGTGCCAAAACGTGACAAATTTTCATCGGATTTCTAAATGAAATATATATCATAGATAAATTTAACCATGTTGAGTAGTATGTAAAACATTCGACATCAGGCGGGAGTTGATCCCATAGTCGTGCTACCACTACACGCAACTACTGAACACTGTGTTAATCTCAACTTCTTATTTATTGCCTATTTTTTCACGACAGCATACAATGCAAAGTACAACCACTGGGATGCCGAGATATTACCGAAATTCGGAACGACACGTGGGCTTCAAGGGTCTCGTCCTTTCCACCGCAATAACCAAGCCCCTTAGTTTGCCTTTCTTTTGAACTGTGGAAAACTTTCGAATTCATGCTGTTTTTGATGAAGACGTCTTTGCCCTACTGAAAGTCCTAAACTTCATTACGTTGACAAATCACGGAAAAATTCGACTCATTATTAAAAGAAACCTGTAAGATAGAGTTTCTTGATCATGACGGTAATTAAATGATGATTTGAAATATTTTGCAGATGAAAACTCGTCCAATGTCGTCAATATTTGAGCAGTGTTTCTCAGACGACATTACTTGTCTATTCACTGTAATTTTGGCTTCTATCCAAATATTTCTTTTCGCTTCATGTATATGCATTATATATTGTTACATACAGGTCAGTTAGTTAAATTGATTGACCTCTGTTCATTTCTTAGTGTAGCAGGATGTCTGTTTGATAGAGAGTGTTCGTGATTGAAACGCTCATATAAAAGGAACTAGATCTCGTCAGAAAAAATGTAGACAAGACGATTCAATTGAGCGAAATTAGGAAATCTGCTTAAACAAACAGAGCACAATGATAAATTTTAGAGGTCCGTATGTAGTTTTTAGCAATGGCGCTCATTTCGCACGCTCCATGGATCAACTTCAACGCAAGTACAGTACGAGTTGAACGGGCAACCAAAACTAAACGCGGCTCAAGTGGACTGAATTCACCCAGCACCATCAACTTCACCATACTTGATGGACTTCAATTTTATCCAGCGCTCTTGAATTTATAGTTTCTATCGACGTTTACTTCGGCATCACTGATTCTTTGCACTTTATGTTACGGGTATTTCGTCTTTCTTTGCAACATTTTATCTGTAATTCTGATAAAAATGAACTTGCCGATCTCTAGATTGTGGATGAATATGATTTAAAAAAGCGTCTAGTTTACAGTAAGATACAGGTGCATTCGAGGACGAGAACGGTCCCCATTGCGCCAGATCAATCCGCTCCAACTCGCTTGCGTAGCCATTCGATTGGAGCTCCAATCTAAGAGCGTTTGCAGCGTATAATTTCGTGGACGCAAGAAAACAAACGATATATTAGTTGTTTGAGACAATCGCTCCATCTTTCTTTCCTCAGAAAAATGAGAAAGAAGAAGATTCGTAGGTTAGAAAAAGTCAGTTTGAAACTGTCGTTTTGTTTTTCGATTCTTAGAAAATAAGGAGGTGGAAAATCTATAGGCTAGGAAATTTAATTTGAGACAGTCGTTTTGTTCCTCAGTTTTCAAAAAATAGAAAGGAGGGAAAAGTATAGGCTAAAAAACTTAGTTTGGGACAATCAGTTCGTTTTCCGATTTTCAAAAAAATTAGAGCGGAAACAATAGGCTCGAAAAGTCAGCCTGGAGCAGTCGTATCTTTTCCAGGTTCTTAGAAAAATTAGGATGTAAAACACTAAACTAGAAAAAGCCAGCTTCAAAGGGCGAATGTTAGAGGTCATTCAATCGTGTATGGACACTGAAGCGTCCATACCGGTGGTAGTGTGTTAGTTCATGCTTTATACGTACAGTTAATAGCAATTTAATAAATTAATCCAAGCGTTTCATGAGGTCTAATATGGCACTTATAAAGTGCTAGACACGTGTTTTGGCCCTTTAGTCTCATCAGTAGCACGGTGTCTTCCGTTTGAGTCAATCCCTTATAGGGGGCTATACCCCTACATATGAAGAATCGACGTCTAACAACTTACACTGTAAGTGTGTCAAATGAAAGATCACCCGACATTGCAATGACTATCAGTCGATTGCTAATGGTTAGTAAAACTAATAATCGACTGTCAGTCACTGTCGAGTGACCTTATCACTTAACACACGTGCAATGTAACATCTTCGTTCTTCATATATAGGGGTATATTCCTTTACAGCGGAGAGGCTCAAACGAAAGCCACCGTGCTACTGATGAGGCTGAACGGTCAATACATGTGTCTAGCACTCTATAAAAGCCGTAATAGATCCTATGAAGGGCTTAAAATATGCTATCAGATTACATCATTCCAATCTTCTAAGCGAGTTCTTAGAAAACCGTCTAATATATAGGCATTCAGTGTTGTTCATACGCACATAAGCGGTTGTGTGGTATAACGACAAGAGATGGCGTGCAAGACATATGTGTTCAGTTTCGTTCTCGTGTATGGAGCTAACAAATCCTATTTTTCCTCAGGTGATGGAGAATTGAACCAGTTTTGGCTGAAAAATTAAAGACTGACTGCATGCCGAGATCTCAAAGAGTAACGCATAGGCCAAAAAATATGCATTCAATCATCTTTGCCGTTTGACGAATGAAATATAATGCATACCATATCTTTAGAGAATTGAGTAAGGCCCAACGTTTTATCTTCTATGATTACACTTTGTGATGCGTTCATGTAAACATGGTGCAACTACGAAAATTGTAAGCAGTGGTCATCAGAAAAACAAAAGTGCTTTACATTGACTTTGAAAATTGACCATCTACACTGGAACGATTAGTAATAATGAACAACAAAACCTACCGTAACAAGCATAACAGCAACGAAGACAAAGGGGAAGAAAGACGGGAAGGAATGATTTCAAACTGTTTATAAGGATGATTTCATAGCTTTCCTGTATATTCTGTTTTTGAATAAAACTACATCTTGCCTTCTTTCTTAACTCATTTGTCGATTGTAGATACAAGTTCATTGCAGACGACAAGGCGACTAAAAGAGGTCGGGAAGCATCAAAAGCATAGTAACACAGCGAATTTCGGGCATAATCGTATATAGCATTCAATTAACAATGACAAAACGGCTCTAAGAAATGTGCGGCAATAAAGTCATGTGGATCGTTGGCCTACATACGCTGAAGCATAGTCTTTCTCTTCACGAGTTCAATTGAAGTGCAGGTGATAATGAAGTGTTCTATCAACGAGTAATCACTATCGTCTTAGTGTAGCGATCTCACTATAAGTCAGTTTTCTGTTCCGACAACAATTTACAATCAGGCCTTCCGTTGAACTCGGTAACTTAGTTACAGCTGGAAAGGATAAAGTTCGTGGCGGTGATCAATCTCTGAGGTATGCGTCATGCAATCACCTTCTGCTTTCACCATCTTTTAAGGTGACTGAATGCATATCGGGCTTCTACAGTGACACGTAGTGGCCTCCAGTGAATCACGTCAGTGCTGCTTTTCTCGCAGAAGAGTTCGACCAATTCAGCGGCCCCGAAGGGATGGAATGTACGGTGAGCCTTGGGTGCGGGATCGAACCATAGACCATTCGACCATGTATACGCAGAGCACTTCTAACTATTGCTCCACACGCGCCCCTATCAATAGTAATTATATGTCGATCATAAGCGAAAAAGAAGTTTATGTATATCAAAAGTTCAAGAATAAATCTTAACTCGAATGCCTTACTACCAATCGCGACTTGAAGTCTATTTCCGTTTTTTGATCTGAGCCAGTCTACTGGTCACACACGTAAACAGCACTGGATAGTCCCACATCTTACACAGTGGTGATTAATTTTTCTTTGTGTCTTCTCTAATACTATAGGTAATCTGCTGAATTATATGAATAGCGCTACATAAAAAACGTCTGGCTCTGATGAAGATGATGTCGTTGAAACGTCAGCAATCGAATCACAATGGTAACAACGAGTACAGCCACAATGTGATAGTAACTTCGTGCCAGCTCAATATGGCCAGTGTTTAGAATTTTTTGGTAGATTTCTGCGCTTTTCATGTTATACGTTAACTCTGCATTTTTTCTGGCTTTCCTCACATCTTTCTATGTTTTTGGTCTTTTAAGTGATGAAAAGCCCGTCCACTATCCCAACACACTTAAACCCGTCTTGGTACTGTATTTAGTCAGTCACTATTTTAGCAATTTTTCATATTCGCCCACTACATACGTTAATCGAAATTTATCATAGCACACAGAAATAAAACAACAGTGATAATGGTCACGTGGGATTTTATCTTAACAAAATGCCTAAGTGTCAAGCTCCACTATGCAGAAAAAGTTACAACAGACTTCAAGAGTAAACTTTTAGCGAACTGGTACAAACTGTGTACCGAGAAAAGCTCTATGAGTGACGGTCATCATAATGGCTGTCAGTTCAACTGGGTTTATGGAAGCGAAATCACATACCCGCCTAAACCTCTCAAGGTTGGTGGCTTACAGCCATCATAGAGATGTTGACTGGTGATGCGAATGTAACTTGGTAGTGTAGTGGTAGCACGCGTCTCCGATATGGATGAAACGCGGGTTCGACTCCCGCCTAAGGCCATGCTTTCGTTCACCACTCAATTTTCCCTAGGTATCTTTGAAGTGATATGAGCTGTTGAAAAGACAGTGCATTGAAATCAATGCAAAATCCTCCGACATGTGTCAAGAACAATATGGATCAAGGAAACAAAACTCGGCTTATGTGCCCGTAAGCAATAAGCAATGATCCGAAATTAACTGACTGGAAAGTGTATGAAGGCTGTTCATTGTCACTTCAAACAAGCAAATTTTGATCTCAAAATTGGCTTTTCTTTAACTTCGGCAGCACTACATGCAGCAGGATCAATCATGTAGTCTTTGTTATTGAGGTGTAGCATGAATTGTTAGAAAACAAATACACTCGGCTAACGCTTCAATGCGTTTCGTCATCTACAGAGCCTTGAATCAAGTCGATTGCTTACAGTCGCTCGTCCTCGTTGTGGCTCAAGCAAGTTTTATCTCAATTCCATGAAAGCATAAAGTTAAATGCAACTGATGTATGATTTTCATATTCGGTGAATAAGCTCAGCCTAATGAGTACATTTGTTATGTGACGATAATGAATGGAAGCTTCGTTGATTTCTTCACAGCGCAACAAAAAGCTATGCTCTGGACAAAAAGCCAGAAAGCTTATTCAAGGAAGCTTACATCACCTTGTATATGAAATTTTCGATTGAGAATATTTTGATGCTGCTAACAATGGATGTTTGATTGTTACTTTCTAATGTCAGCCTATCGGTTGCGGTGTATATATATCAAGATGATGAACAGCCGACAGAATATTATTCCTTGCTAAAATTTTCATATGTTTGGAATATGTCATTTATTATGCATAGTCCGTTCTATACTTTACGTACATGTAAGTCTCTTAGCATGCAAATCTATATATACTGCTCTCATTACATGCCTTTAAATGGTACTACAATATGTCCTGTTACACCTTAGATTCATGAATGACACTAAGATAATGTCAAGAGTGTCCTTACAATTTTCGAAATTACTCAGTCATTCAAAACGAAGTTATGACCAGAGTCATTATTCTACTCAGAGCGTGAAACAACTGTGAACAAGAAAGACGCTCGTAAACAAATTAGAAGATTGTTATGAGTGGCTTGCCCATGAATGCTATAATACTCACAAGAGGGTATAAGCGTTCTAGGATAAATGCGTAGAAATTCATTCGATTAATCTGTTATGAGTGTTTATAAACTTCCCACTTCAAGCGTTCCTGTAATACTAAGTAGAAGGAAAAGTACCTTAACACTCGCAAGTATTTCAATTTCATATTTGTTTCGCACAGTTCTCGATCACTGTAAACTCAAGGGAATATCTCAGGATTATTTCCATAAGGAACTTCCACAACTGAAGCAATCGTTGTGTTTCAAAGGTTGAGCTCCGTCATCAGTTACACGTCAAAACCCGTTTGGGCCCAAAGGTCGTGATCTGCGTTGTGATCTGGAATTTCGAAGATATCTTGCCTTCCTGACTTGTTCCCGATGATCGCACCATCAATGACGAACTCTACTGCGAGCAGCTGGTCCCAAGTTTACTTTGCGTTGAAGGACACATTAGCCGACATTGATTCGTCGAAAGCGTGAGCATGTCAAACCTCACCCTGCAAGGAGGACTAAGGAAAAGTTCAATAAATTTGAGAGAGCCGAGGATTTTCTTCACCCAGCGTACAGTCCAGATGCTGCACCGTCCGATTATAGTTCAGTTCCGCTCAAGGGACATTTCCTGCGCGGGCAATGATTTAGCGACATTTGATCAAGTTGATAAGGCATAAAGGAAGATTCATTGATTCCCTCCCAAGCCCAAAGAATGATGATTCCAATCAGATCCGGAAGCTTGCAGATCGTTCACAAAAGATCGTCAGGATAATGGTGGTTTTATTTTGAAGAAGAACTATTGATGTTTTTGGTTGAAATTATGTATAAACGTCGCAATATCGGCGGTGTTAAGCAAGCTTTTCCTTAAGCTGGTGATTACGCGACACTGTTTCTTAATAGAGGTTGTATATTCTATCTTTTCAGTACATTTTTAGTATGCTCATGGTGTAGGTTTGAATATGACTGACGCAAAATAAAGCTGACGCTCTTACCACAAGAAAGAAGAATGTTGCCAGTAATATATTTAGGTTATTTTCCGAATTCGGTTAGCAAAAATCCTTTCCTCATAATCATCGAATGATTTCTAGAACAAAAGTTTATCCACATGCTTGATTGGAAACTTGTTTTCTCATGACGAAACTGGTGAGCTAAGTGACAGAGTTCAACACCCCTATTGTTCAAATTCTGTATCAACACGTGTGGGCCCTCGTTATAACGCAATATGGATTCAACCATTGTCAGTTTATCAATATTAAACGCTCACATTTCGGTTTTCATGGTTTTTACGGATTTTCTTGTTTTGATATTTCCTGCGTATTCTTTTGTCAGATTTCAACAATTTGTATGGGATAATTCGATGTTCTGGTTCAAATAAGACGTTACAATCTTCTCAAGCAAAGTGAGGTCTCAAGAAGATTTCATCTCTCCGGCTTCGTTGAAACAAAGGTTAGAAATTATCGACTGTCCGAAAATGATTTTCATCTAGTCATATGTGACACGCAACAAAAGAGACGTGTGGTTTCTTTTGTACAAAAAAAAGTGAGAAGTAATTTCCTCGGGACGTCGTCGTAGCTTTTTACCTCATTTGCCTGCATTTTGGATCTTTTATTTAGCTCAACTGCCTTGAAATTGCTATTTTACGCAGATCTAGTCATTTCTCAAGCTTTTAGCATGCTATCTGTGTATCCCTTTTAATGCTTAGTTATTATTTTGTTATGGGCACTCATGCAAAGCAATACACGCATGTTTCGGCCTTGATAGCCTCGTCAGTTCCACATAGCCTTTCGTCTTAACCAATCCTTTTGAGAGAACCCGACCCTCTTACATGAACGAGGAGCAGACATACTATTTACACGTGCCATCAAATGAAAGAAGTTACTAAATGATAGTGTTGTACACTCGACTGCTTTTGGCTGGCATTTATGAAATATCATACCATTCGTTTCGAATTTCAGACCTAATCAGTTATAAGACAGATGAAAAATGGACCTCCTCCACTGGACAGAAATTTTTCGTAGGAGAGCTAGTGGCCATGAAATCTGAGACTTCATGCTACAGCCCCACATGGCCGATGTTTAAGAAGCCATTTTTCACGTTGCTACAGGAAACGATTTGTTGCTTTACAGTCACGTATATTCCTTTCTGGACATAGCCCTTTCTTTAGACTATCAGTATTCATTTGATAGCGTAATCGCATCTGATCCTAACGCTGTGCTTGCATCCTGAAAAGAGCGTTTCTCTTTACGCAGCAGGTAAAATTAGTTGAATTTGCATGTGTGTGTGTGAGCAAAGGGTCTTTGGCCAATTCAAGTGCTGTGCGTGAGACGGCTACGTAAACTACTGACGTTGGCTACGTGAACTACTGACGTTATACTTCTCTACGCCTTCATACGCCCGGAAAAAAACGATAATTATCGCGTCATCGAACGTGACAGCCTCAGCCAGCCGCATGTGAGCTGGCCAATGACCCCCTTGATAGCAGATGTGAAATGAGAATACTTAATCTGCTGTGTTTTAGACGAGCTGCCTTTTCAAAATATAAGCGCAGCGTTGAAATAAGAAACGATTTTGCTATTGAATGTTTACTAAAAGTACAAAAAAGAGCTCTCTCTGACAAGAAATATACGCGTCTCGCAATTCAAGAAATCTCCTCCTATAGCAACGTCAAGAAATTCGTTTTCGAAAATCGGTGACGTGGCGCTGTAATTTGAAGCCTCAGCTTTTGAATGGCTGCTAATACTCCTATGAAAAAGCCCCTCTCCTGCGAATAAGATCGGTTTTTCATTTGTCCCCGCACAACTTCAGTAGCACCAGAATTTCTTCAACTTGATGGCTTGTGAAAATAGAACTTCTGCGTCTCCTCTATGTAAGGGGCTTGAGTTCTCCAAGAGGAGTGGCTAAGACGATTGGCACTGTGCAACTGACGAGGCTGTCAAGGCCGTAACCCGCGTGCATTGTACTATGTAAGTGCACATAACAAGTTACACGCATGGCTCAAAAAATAATTACCGAGCATATTGAAATTTCAGCTTGCTCTTAAGAAAGCACTTTAAAGGAGTGGCATTTGTTTCATTTATCAGGCTCACATTGTTACTGCGGACGACTATAAGTGATGTTTTATAAATTACATCAATTCGCACCAACCTACTTTTGAAAACGATAACGATGTATTCAATTGATAGCTTATGCAAATTGAAGCCTCATTGTTCCGAGAAGACTGTCTACTTTCATTTTCGAGCTCCAAAATTTGCAACTAAATTCTTAAATTACTTTTCACTTTTGTTAGCCTAAGCTGGAAATTTGTTTAAAAGTGTACTGTGAACACGCTTAAAAGCTTCACTATGTAATTCATTCTGATTTTATACAGATGTTTGCATAAGCAGAGTATTCATTATCTTTTCTTTAGGGCGACATGCTTATACCAAAATCGATTTAATTAAACTATTTCGAGGAAATGAACCGCTCCCAATTTTTTCACCTGATTCTGCATACGTATTCGGCTCAGTACATGTCATCTTCCCTCATCTATATCTGTGGCTTCATGTTCATCTATTTTTCGACGTTGTCGAAGATTTCTTGCAATGAAGAACTCTGCATGTCCTCTATTGAAGGCGCCAATTTCTAAATGTGTAGTCATAGTCAACATGAGTATTATTTCTGATAGTCTCAAGTAAATGCTATCATGTCAGCTTTCATATAATATCAGTATGCATCTTTTACATTTTGCGATGATAACTTTGTTATTTACCTTACTTCACATTTCGTTCTTTCTTCCCTTTCTGATTGACCATAGAGCATTAAGTCGTTCAAAATAGACAATACACTTATATGTTCGAAATTTAGTATTTCTCACTGCTTTTTTCGCAGTGTTATTATGTTACTTATATAATTGAGAGAATTGAGTGATGAACAA